ACTTTCTTAGAAGAGATGTTGTGGCACCTGTAAGCTGCTCTCTAGGGGTGGCTAACTACCCCTTAGTACTTGGCCATTTCAAGAACATCTTTATAGGCAATCTGCATAATTCATGTAGCTTCCATCATATGACTTCTGGTGTTAAAATGAGAAATTGTATTACTCAACAAGTGAGCAAAAGCTATTTGATGTATAATTAGAGTTCATCACTGTCAAAGTAATTTAGAGTTGTGATATATTTTTATGAAAGCCAAATTCATGCAATTGGCACAGACTAAAATTACTATAATTGTATTAGACTGTGATTACAGAAATCCATGGAGCCAACCAACCAAGAAAACTAAAATGAGATGCTTTAAAACATTACACCAAGCATCAAGGTCAAACTTTTCTAGACTGTAGTAACCAGCCATAACAATGCTTGAAGACACATCAGAAGATCAATTATTTAACAGTTGGGACATACTTCAGATGCATTGGCTTTTGCAAGGCAGGTAGTTTACAAAGTGTTTCAAGAACAATGTTCTGCTTAGGATTGCTACGTGGTTAAGAAGTTACTCATCTTATTCCATAAAATACTTTAAAGAATTAAATTAAATAATCAATGTAATAAAATTATTCCAATCCTGAGAAGATAACCACTTACATGGATAAGCTACCATATTCATCATTAAAAATACCAAAAACTAATTTCTGATCTATCCTATCTTGTTCAACATAGTCTACTATGTAAGATATAATGGAATCTGGTTATTTATAAGTTTGATGAATTCTCTAACTTGAAAGACGTTGTCTAACTTATCACTGTATTCATGAGGAGTTATCATTTCTATAAAGTCTCTGATCTGTATCCAGATGTGGTGACACACACCATTAATTCCAGCACTCAGAAGGCAGAAGCAGGAGGATCTCTGTGAGTTCATGGCCAACCTAGATTACATAATAAGCTCCAATCACCCAGAGTTCTAGGGTAAGGTCTTGCCTAAAATTAAGTAAATAAATAAATAAATATCTGATGTTAAAGACTTTGCCTCACTCGTCATGTATTCATTCGGCATAGGCCAATGCCTAGCTTAGTGGGAACATCATGCAACTTTTATGTTAAATAATTAATTGCATTTGCACTATCTTTTCCAGTGTGTCACCAAATTAGTTCATCGTCACCAGATCAGACCTCCAATGACTTAAATTAATTGTATGCTTTAGACTATTCTTTGAAGTTTGTGCAATTTGTAAGTTTGTGTCTGCTTCATTTTAACATTTTTAGATTTTCTTTCCTTTTTCTTACCGTGGAAGCCTTTCTGTTACTGTTTGTATGTTATTTTAGTTTGGGGAACCTCCTTTATTCCTTTTTTGTTTTGTTTTTGTACTTAGCATTTAAAAGATCATTTCTTCATTCTGGCCTCTATTGTTACTAAGGATAAATATATTTAATTCAAGTTTTTCTTTCTTCATACAAAGTGTAACATTTACCTCTTGTATTTGGAAAATTTTGATTATCTTATCACAATCAGATTAGATTTGCTGGATTCTTATGAATGATTTTTCAAAGCCATTTTAGTAGCTATGAAAGGAATCTGTTATTTCTGTGCTATTTTCCAAAATGGTCATCTTTTCTATGTTTTGTCTAGGTTTTTATCTACTTGCTAGAACTTTGGTTCATGGCAGTTTGGATTTTCAGAGATCTGATGATGCTAATCTGGTGTGCCTGGGTACATTGATGCTGTTTAGGGTCCTACTCTTGGTATCATGTGAGATAAGGAATGAAATACAGAGGCTTGCTTCAGGTGTTAGTTTTTCATCAGCTGCCTGGGTTACAAAAACTGAATTTTAACACAGTTACATAGAATTTTATCTTTTTCATCATTTTTTTTCTTTTCAACTGGAATGTGCCTATATTGGTATGTATAACATTTATGAAAATTTTCTGTACTTTGAAGTTATCAGTGGTCTACTTATTTGAGCAAAACTTTTAGTTTTCTCATCACATTTTATGTTACCTTTTAAACATGACTTTAAAGATATATTTTTCAAGTTTAAATAAATAATTGACTAATTTGCAGAACTAATCTTAATATTGAAATGTCTAGTCACTGCAACTAAACAATAATTAAATAGACATTGGAAAGAGGAAAAAACTACTGATGACTTCATAAAAACCCCCAAGGAATCTACAAAATCTTTTTTATAACTAATAAAGCATGCCCCTATGGTTGCCGGACAAAAAAATCAAAGAGCAATATGTTATTTATCTATCTATCTATCTATCTATCTATCTATCTATCTATCATCTGTCTGTCGTTATCTCTATCGCTCTTCATCTATATATACCTCTACTGTCTGTTTATATCTATCTTTCAGTCTCATGGAGGGAAATCTGACCCATTGGACTCATACTCGCTATGTATCAAAGGCTGCCCTTAAACTCCTAATCTCCTGGGGTACTGGGATTTGGGAATACACCATTTGCCTAGTCTATCAAAAATCATGAGTGTTCATTTTGTAAGGATGTCACCAGGTCCCAATGGTCTATGTTCTTTCCTAATCTCTATGTTCAAAGTTTACGAAGAATAATAATGTTATGTCTCCTTCCTGCTGCTGCTGCTGTGCAAAAGAAGAGGGCATGGTACTGGAAAAACAGACAAAAATGAATGAATAAAAAAGAAACACAGAGATAGGACCAATGAAATTTTGCAAAAAAAACATAAAAGCTACTAAAAGAAGGACTGATAGCCTTTTCAGTCAATGGTGTTGAAGCAAGGAGTTACCTTCTTGGAAGTCCATAGATAAGTGAGACCACTATCTACACCATGCAACTTACATGAAAACTGATTCTAATTGACCAATAGACTTACATCATAACACCTTATAAGTCATGCAGAAAAAAAAACATATGAGGCTAGGAACAGGCAAACAATTTTGAGACTTGACACCAAAAATAGGAGCTATAAAAGGAAAAAAATAATAAATTATATTTGGGTCCATAGATTTTCAAGTGTCAATGCATAAGACATGGCAACCATTTGTGATCTAATAATGATTGATTACACAATTGTATGCTTGAAAGGAACTGAACACATGATTTAACTTCCACTTAATAAATTCTTACTTGCTAAACATTACTTCTATAATGTATTCAAAATTTTTTTCATATTTTTCCATTGCAAGTTATCATTTATCAGTTGAAACTCAAGATGTTATGATTCTTTGTGTTGGGTAGGCTACAATGATGAAGCAGAACAAAAACAAATTTAGAAGCCTGGTTATTTATTGGGAAAAACAGAACTTGGCTGACTAGCTTCTTTTATGACTGAAAGAGATGTAAGTAACAAAATAAAGGAAATGGAATTCTCATGAATGAGTGACTGGATGTATGGATGAAAATCTAGAATCCAGCTTTTTATGCATGTCTCTTAGGCAGTTAGGGAACAAGGGTTCTGTTTGACCTCTGTAAAGAATTATTAATTATGTCATATGTGTAAGCAGAATACATGTTTGCTTCCTTATACAAAAATAGAAAACCTGATAGGCAACTATAAAGAAATGAACCTGCTTATTAAAACTTAGTAAGTACCAAGATACTAAAATTACAAACCACACTAAATGTTAAGTGGCAAATAGCAGAAACACACCCCAATTGTCAGTTGTTCCATGGTGGATGGGAGAAACACGTTCTTACTTCCCTGGAACCCACCCTGCATAGTTTGTGCTTTGAGCTAAAATAATCCCTGGTCTCTCAGTAACCTCATCTGATGTCATCACTTGGAAAATGGCAGGAAACTGAAGGAAACGCTCCCTGCGTTAAGTCTGATATAATTACTTTTTCAAAAGCCCAAGTATCCTGTTCTCATGTTGACGTGGGGGGGGGGCGACAGGGGACGACACATGCTTTCCAAGTGAGGAGGCTGATAGCCTTCAGGAAGCTGTTGGAAATATGGGTCTTCTGGTGTGGCATGGATGTAAATCTAACCTAACTGGGAGAAAGGATAAGCTGAAGGAGAAATATAGACTTTGGGTGCCACATGTAATAACATAGAGCAAGTATACCTAGTTGAACGAGAACATTATCAGTAAATATTTAGTTTTACTCTGGTCCCAAATTCGTAGCAATCTCCAAAACAAAAACATATAAGAAAAGGGGAACGCCTTTGAAAGAGGAAGAAAGGTCTCTTTCACTGAGGTCTTAGTCGCAGATCCATTCATATGGGGCACTGGCAGAAACTGTGTCTGGGCTGTCCCACAGCCTGTGTACAGCTACCGAGGCTAAGATCACCGTGGAAAGTGGAGCCACAGAAGATACTTGCAAAGAACATCACCGAAGCAGGGTGAATAGAGAGCATGTGAAGTTTTCACAAGCTGACATGAAAACATCCAATTGATTTTCACAACTGGCCATAATTCACTGCTGCTTTTGGAGAAAGTAAAAACAAAAAACAAAAAACAAAAAAACAAACAAGAGGCCTGCTTAACTGGGCCTGAAATAGGCTGGCAGAGTGGGTGCAAAATATTCAACATATTCCCAGATGCCACAGCACTAGGGTGGAACCATCCCCAGACCTGGAAAGAACAAGGGGATGTCGTGTCAGCAAAAGAGCCAGCCCTGGAAGCCAGTCTTGGCCACCAAAGCACTTCTGGGAGGTGGTTTCCCTTTCTGATTCACAGTCTTGTTCCTTTCCCAAGGCCACTGCTGCAGGGACACTCTAAACCAAAACTGGATGATCACAAGCCCAAGAAGTGCTGCTAGTGTGGACTTGGTTTGGCACGATTCCTGACTTTCAGTCTGACTCCTGTTAAAGTCATTAGGAATTCGACCTGCTTGGTTCCCTAAGAGTTGAAGTTAGATCAAACACATTGCAAAAGTCAGAGTTCGGCATTGTAAACATGCAAAGCAGGGAGAGTTGGATCGGCAGACATGTCAGATCACACTCCTAATCTTACAATACATTCCCCCAGACACAGGTGAGGTTATGGAAGCGATTCAAGAGTTAACACACGAAATGTGCTGTCTTAAGTCACCAGGACTACTTTTCCCAGGACAAACTTTATTGAGGCAGCAAGCAGTGTACTGAAAGGGGAGAGACAAGCCTTCATCCCACTGTAGGTCAGATGCTCTCCCCTCTGAGAAAGGGGGTATTGTGAGGAACGATGAAAAGCAGGTATCTTTCGGACATGCACTGCCTGGAGAGTGCTTACATTTTCTTCCTTCTTTAACACACACTTTGGTTTTATTTGGGGGAAAAGTAAAACAAATAAAAGAACAATTTGTCCCAACTGAGAATAGAGTTTCCCCCTGAGTTTCTTAGGAAATGACACAGCTGCCCTTTTCTTTAAAGGGATTCTTGTCTTCTGGAATTCCCTTCACCAGGGGATCATCTCCAGAACGTTCTTCGATGTAGTTCTTTATTTCTTCAGAACATTTAGACACCTGAAGTGTAAAAAAAGGGGAGGAGGTGTCAAAAGAAATAAATTAGGTCAAGGATATTGAACTTTGCTGCTGGCTTTCTGTGAGATTATTATAATTTAATAAATAAGCATTAGTATTTAAGACTAATATTGTTTTTAAAATTCTCCCTAGACTCTAAGAATTTGCTTTTATCCTATTTACATATGTGATACAATCTATGAAAAAGTACTTTATTGCTCAACAGACAAATGCTTGGAAGTTATTGCATTAATAGTTCATCCATGGCACTTTGTATTCCTGTTTGTCACATGATTTCCTTACTCTTTGAAACACACTCATAACAAACCTATCATATTCAAATTCTCTAGGAAGCAGTCAGATATTAGTCAACCTTCAGACGTCAAAGGTTGTGTCACGGTTTTCACATAAGCTCTCATGCCACACTCCAGAACTCCACGTACGGAAATGCTGGCTGCAAATGTTAGATTTGTCCACACATCTCTCAGTTTTGCCTTAGAATTCCTGTGACAAGTAAGACAATGATTATAATAAAGACTTTCCTAGGGGCTTAGTAGGGTTATCTGAGACTCTGACATCTAAGGAATCAGCTTAAACTTTTCTTCCACTGGGACAGGATTGAATATTTTCTTCAAAAATTCTACCAGTTAAGAGACAAGTTGCAGGTTTAAGGTTGAGTGAGAGAGAGAGAGAGAGAATAAATGAGAAATTAAGTGCAAGATTGGCTGTTTTCATAAAGATCTGTTTTGTGATTAAGAAGTTTGAAGTAAAAAATAGAGACTAATGAAAAGTGGGTATTATCAACAACAGTTTGTGTTTTAAATTAGTACCATTTGAGTGAGCCTCACTTAGTATATATACATACATGCATAATTATTTATAAATAAGTGCAGGTATCACAGTGTTAACACATCATGCATAATTGTAAAACAAACTAGTAATTAAAAATGAGATTCAAAATTAAACAGAAATAGAAATCTCATTATATCATTATTGCCTTCCCATACCCTAAAGCTCTATTTGCACAGCAGTATGTAGAACCCATTGGTCCAAAACTTAAAACTAGGTCAAACAGTTGCAGGAATTAAAATGTGATAATAAATAATATCTTGCCAAGAATCTAACTGTGGCTGTCACTCATGGTATGTGTGTTTGAAAGGAATTCTCAGAGTTGATAAAGGGAGTGTTAAAACCCTGGAGTCTTTGGGTCCAACGAGAAACATATGAATAAGATCCCTGGTTCCCCACTGTTCTTGCATAAGCCTTATTATTGGGTTTCTGAAAATGTCTGTTATCTCTGAAAGTGGGCAATTGCCCTTTCTATGATGGAGAGGATGCATCTGGCCACTAATTAGTTAGCTGCAGCCAGATGTGACCTGTGAATGTGCTTGAGCTGAGCACCTATCTCAGGTGTCAGCAAAAGACTGACAAGATAGCGGGGAGGGCACCAGCAGAAACGCTCTTGAAGTACCTGCAGTGCAGTGCAATTGGTCCTCTGTGGTGTGGAGAGAAGGAACTAGTTAGCCTCTAGGACTCAAGGGGTTTTCTTCATTTAAGTGAGGGACTGAGTGGCTTCTAAGCACCGCTCACCCAGCACTAATATAGTCCTCTACACTTTACACTGAAAATAAGATATTTGAGAACTGTGAGGCCTGAGATGGCTCTCTGTGTGTCCAGGAAGAATCACCCTAAATCTTCCTGTCTTCCTAGCAGACTCCTGAGTTGGAAAACCTGTGACTTAGTGTGTGCCCAGGGTTGAGGTGTTGAGGTGGCTCCCAGGGAGAAACTGCAAACAAGTGATGCTTGATTTTTACACTGACAAGCACACCCAGGACTCTGCCTGATGTCTACATTGGGATTTAAAGAAGAAACTTGTCCCTTCACACACCCTGTAGCTTATACTCTAGGATGATAAATAATCAAACATCCCAACTTGGCAAAGGCAAAGCATTATTTCAGCCTACACAATGCTGCTCAATGTGCAGCCCCGTGGGCAAACATTTGCCAAACTCGGGGCTTTTGTCATCAGCCCAAACAGCCCCCTTCAAGAAATCAAGATTATCCTATGGTCCTGTCAAAGACCTTATTCTTCTAATCACATGATTTGTTAAAGTTACAAGAAAGACAGGATGCCCCACCGTGAAATCTAGGAAAAATGTGAATTTGTTTGAAGCAAAGGGCTAAATTTGGGGAGGGAGGGCTTAAAATGGTTAAACTCAAAGAGTTGCGGGATCTTCCAACGATCAGTGAGGTATATCTAAACTCTTGTTATGAATATTTGGAGCCTGTTTATATTATTCACTTCATTTCCTTGTCTTTTATTATTTTTTTTTAGTATTAAACTGTAAACAGTAGTAACCAAGAGCCTCGGGTGCAGCTCACAAACGGCCACATATACACTGCCCTGAGTTTGAACCCCAACACCCCCAAAGCTTTAAAAATAAAATCAGCTCAAAATGTTCTTGCTGTGGAAAAAAAGATAATTTTCTTCAAAATGAACAAATTATTCACAAGCCTTTTTCTAAACTACAGGTTGCCTGACAGAGTGAAAAGAGGAGATTAATGTAATGAAGGCTTCTACTACCAGCAAAAAATTGAAACAAAAAGTTCCAAGTCTCCCCTGGAGTTTCAGTGGAGAATCCTGAATGTTTTCTGGCCAGGCTGGCCTGGAACTCTTAACCCTCCTGCCTCCACTTCCTAAGTGCTTGGGAATTACAGGCATGTACTGCCACACCCAGCCTATAATTTATTTTTTTAGTTTGCAACCATATGTCCTTCAGTATATAAATTCATAAATATAGTTATGGTTATAAGTAAATACAGAAAACGCCTTGTTAGGCATTTGCACGCTTACAAGACTAGATAGAAACTGTATAAGATGTTCAAACAAGCAACTGAAATTCAGGCCATTGCTCCTAAGCCTGAGTGGAGTTCAGGTCTTTGAAAATCAAAGCTAATATGGTTAGGAGATTTTAAAATGCGGTTTTAGAAAAATTCTTTCATACACCATCCTTTCCAGACTAAGAAGCCAGCAGCCCTTTTCAGGATTTGTTTGTGTCCCCTTTGAGACTGACTGTCTTGATGATATTTGGTTTTATATTACTTATTAGTTCCTGCTTCCATTCGCCTTTTTGCAATTTCCTCAAGCCATCTAGCAGCTCCAGGCTTCTACCAGAGCCCCCTTAAAGAGAGGCTTCCAGAAGACAAACAAACCGGTTAACCAGAATTCCTGACCTTGGTGCATTTCTGAGGGAATTCTGGAATAGTTGGCCACCTTACCTGTTGTCTCTGCAACTTTACTTCTTTGCGAAGTTGCTCAACCTCCATCTTCAGCTTTTCCTTTTCCGACAGATCCTCGATGTGGAGGGCAGGCATTTTTTTTTTGCCCCCAGAACTGGATCCAGAAGTCACTTGTGCAGGGGAGCCGCTGGAAGCGCCTAGAACCAGGACGCTCCCCCAAATACCCGCGGCACAACCTACCCGCCCCCTCCCGCGCAGGACGTGACTGGCTCTGGAACCGCGGCTCCCAGCTCCCCGGGGGCTCGGCTTCCTGCCCAAGCCTGCTCCCAATGGCCTTTCCCAGAGTCCAAGCAACCTCAAGGCGGCTTCTCCAGGCCCCACCAGCCCTGTAGCCAGGCAGCTTGCAGAGGGTTAAGCACTGGACATCCTCCTGGCTGTTCTGGGCAGGCTACAGACCCTGCAGAAGCAAGACACAGCTTTGGGCAGGCCTGGCACAGGACCCTTGCCACGCCCGCGGGAGTTGCTGGTCTGGAGACAAAAGTTTTACTTTTGTTCTTTTATTGCGTTTGTGTGTGTGTGTGTGTGTGTGTGTGTGTGTGTGTGTGTGTGTGTGTGTGTGTGTGTGTGTGTGCGTGTGTGTGTGTGTGTGTGTGTCCAGCTTACATCCGGGTTTTGTTTAAAGTCAGGAAAAGGACACTACTCTGCAGGAAACAACGGTCCTTTACCTCTTCCAAGTTTTAAAAATACACAATATACAGCTTTTCCATATACGTGGTGGGAAAAGTGGATATTTGAAAAAGAGGAAAGAAGCACAATATGGATCTCAGCTAGGTCTCAGAAGTATCCACCAGAATTGTGTTGACACATGCTCAAAAGGCCTTTGACAAATATGCTTGGAGGAAAGAAGTTATTTGAGATAAGGGTGTTTCCTGCTGTTAAAGGACTATCTGCATTCTCAGTTTTCACCCTGGGAGAATAAAGGGACATCATGAGAAAACTATCAGGAGGCTTAAAGCCCATTCCCGAGTTCTCCATCGCCCAAGGCTTGGTAGTACATGTCTACCTGAAGGGGCGTTTTTCTTGTTTTATGTTTCTGAATTCCTAATGGACTTCCTTTCCTGGATGTAGGCGGCAGAGTCACTTAGGATAGCCTCCCCACTTTTCTAGAAAGGAATGTTCACAGAGCAGCAGCCTCAGAAAGCCAGGAAAGTGTCTACTGGAAATAGTTAAACTGGTCATGTCAACTTCGTTTCCTTGTTCATAGAGCAGGAAGAGAAGAAAAATAGAAAGTAAATGTAGGAAACCTGCCTTTACAGTAGAATACTCCCCACTTTCCCCAGAGACAGCCTTCCAACTAATAGTTAAAGTGGATGAAGAGTTACCCGACCTTAGATACGGAATTGTTAAGTGTGCACACAGTTTTTCACTAGGCTCCGCCTATTGCCCTCGCAGAATATATTAAGATGAAGAACAATGGGCCATTTAATGAGTGCTCTTTGGTAGTCATCCCAACTCTTCCCAGAGCCATCACCGAAAAAGTCACTTAAATTTTCTGGGTTTTGTTTTCCAGCTCTAAAAATACGAGTCAGGGAAGGGGGTGAGCTGCTGAGGTGCATTGTGTCTCTAAGGGTGCCTAAAAAGGACCAATTTTTTTTTTTCACAAAGAAAATGTTCAGCCTCTACATGTCTTGTAATTGGAACACCAGGATCTCCCGGACTTAAGAGTTTTCTTGTTGGTAAACAGTCAAGACAAACCCACATCTGTCTGAAGAGTCAAATCGTTGTTTTAAATGTCCTATTTCTTAACTTTAATAGGTTGGCTAAAAATAGCTAAAGTAAACAAGTCTAATACCAGAATTAAATCAGTTAAGAAAATTAAGGTACATATATCTGCCTTAAGTAATAAAATAGAATTATTTGGGCCTCTAAGTTTCTTCCTTGTGAATCAGCTATGTACACACCCATACTGGTTGCTAAACATTTTCCTTGGCATGCAAGGCTTAAATTGTATTCATCTACATTTTTGCTTTCATTATCAGACAATTCACAGTGTAATATCTTTTAAACATAAATTAACCTAAATATGCGAAATACTAAGTTGTCATTTCAAAAATCTTTTGTTGTTATTTGGTTTTAAGCAGTAAAATGATGAGGTAATTTTTTTTAAATTGGGGGGGGGTGTTAAAGACACCTGACCTTAAGTCCTGAATTTGTCTTCCAGAGTGCAATAATTACAATTACAAACTTATTGTAGCTGCTGATTTCTGCACTGAGGCTACACAATAATGAGTCTATTACCAGCCAAGCATGGATAGAGGAGCGGCCAGGGGCCATACTGGTGAACTACTGGCTACTGATCGATTCGGGGGGGGAAGACTTATTGTTCTTGGTTGTCTACCCACTGATAATCCTAGGTTTCATTGTACAGTTCCATACTCACGTCTGACAGATGGCCCTGATTAAACTCAGTGGGGCACAAACTGAAACAATAAGGCATGGATTGGAAAAGGGACTTGGAAATTGAGTGTTGATAACATGAGAAGTGTGTGGAGAAAATAATCAGAATATACTATATACGTGTACAAAACTATTCAAGAAATATCTTAATTAACAAAATAGCAAAACACAATGAAGTCTGATAGCAGAAGATATCCACACACATGCAAACACACATATATTACATACACACATACTCTCATACACATACACTAACATATATAAAGTCACTTACATACACACAGAAAAGCAACTAATTGCTAATTTAAACTGTAAAAAACATGACATTTAAGTAACATTTTTCAAATTTTTCATTTTATTCAAAATTATATTCCAAATTAATCAAGTTTATTGCTAAAATTACGTGAAGTTCTTTATAAAAATGCCAAAATAAGTTATGTTGCTATAAAAACTGCTAACTTAGAATTTTGAACAGTACTCTGCCTTTATTTTATTTTGTGTGTTTTAAAGAAAGTAGTTTTTTTTCTGCTTTTCTTTTGTTAGAAAAAATTGACTAGGTTACAGCCCAAACTCTGCCTTCTGAAATTATAAAAATAAATTATAACAGATTAGGTTGTTAAAATGATGCTTTCTTTAAGAAAGACATTTTAGCATGCTTTCGGTTTATTGGATTTGTTTGCTTTGCTGGAGTTTGCTAAAATGAACCCCATGGCCGTTTCTAGGGCTTTATCCTCATTGCAGGCTAGCCGCACACATGTGCTTCCTGTTTTGGATTGAGATGCCTTCAAATCCCAGAAGGACCTGAGTCTGATTCTCTGAACACCTCCACAGCTATTTGTAATTCACTCTGCCTAAGAGCTTTCTTGTGCAAAATCTTCCTATGAAACGTTAAACCCCTATCACAAACAACTGATGACTCTTATTGTTAAAGTTAACTAGTTTTCACGCATTAATGACTTTCTTTAGGAGTCCTGACATCAGAATTAAAAAAAAAATAACTAAAATCAAGTCAATCTAAATTATGAAATGTTTTTCCTCCTCTCTCTGTTACTCTTCCTCGGCTTCAGCCTCCCTCCTCCTCCTCATTCCCCTTCATCTTCTCTATCTTTTGTAAATCTTGAACTCATCCACGTGCTTATACCTCAAAGTATAAGTGACTTAAAAGACAGACTCTGTAATTGCTCATTCTTGCTAACATACCAGCAGGCTTTGTTGAGGAGCCAAATAATGAGGCATTTTAGGAGGTTTTGTTCTTTTTCTTTTTCTTTTGTCTCCCTCTGTATTAGCCAATTCCTCTTAACCTAGTCACCCCTGGCCCTGAAATGACAGTTTTTAAAGAAAACAGTCATTGTCAGTTGCAGCTGTGCAGTCTGGGGCAACAGTCAGGACTTCATTTCCTTCTTTATGTATATCTTTCTCTGCAGTTCTTCCCTTTGATTTCTTGTTTATTCAAAATTCATCCAACAGTATGTATTTTTAATCAAAACTAAATTTAGCTTACTGCCATAAGGATTCTGCCTCATCTAATATAAATGTTTGGCAAGTGCTGAGCTTTCCTGCTCTTAATTGGATCAAATATTAATGAAGTCAGTTTAATTCCAGAAACAAGCATTAGGCTAGTCAGTTTCAAAGATGAAGAGACTTGGGGAAATTATGATATATATAGCTTTGAAATTAAGAGTACAAATTACATAGACAAAAGTAAAATGATATGAAATGACTTTTGAGGTATAAAACAATAATCTTGAGGGAATGAAAGAAGCTGTCTCAGACAAGGCAGCTTTCAAAGGGCTGAAATAGAGTCGAGAGACATTTCAGGTATGGGGATCAATGTGACCAAATTTCAATGGGAAGATCAAGGCAACCTGTCAGATACTGGTTATCTTTACAGGAACTCTACAGGCATCACAATGGTGCATTTTATTAAGCCTTCTATGTGACTATTTCTGAGATAAGAGATCATAAATACCCAAATAAAGATTGCTCATAGTTTATTCTATGCATTTCAAAGGGACATTTCAAAGAGCTGGTGTTACTTGTCCAAAGTTCTCAATATAGTAGAGCAGGGATTTTAACTTTGAACCATCAGGCTTCAAAATCCATATCAAGCTGTAGTATAGAAAGTAAATACAAGTCTTTAGAGCATGTTTTGCATATTTTCAAATGTCCTAGCAAAGAACTGGCCTTTAATTAGAAAAAAAAGGAAATATAGATCATTTCCTTAAATAAATGGGAACTTGAAGGCAGAAAACTACAGTCAGACTTCAATCAAATAAATAATTATACATAATAATACAGGTAGTGATAGGTGCTTATGGAGGAACAGAGACTGGGGAAGATGAATGGGAATGTTGGGTTGGTGGAATGGGTTTTTGTACTTCTAAATAGAAAAGTATTTCTCCTCCAGAAAAAATTGATGAGATTGCATAATTTACCCTGAAGTCTTATGACATGAGGTATCTTAATTGAAGACCTGCAGGAGAGGATGTTGATGGCTTCAGCTGGTGACCCAGAGTCCTGACCTCAGCCATCTGCCAGTTTACTCCTCAGAATCTATTATATTTTCCTTGTTTGGGAAAAAATTGGTTGGATAAGTAGCTAAGGGTATGTGCTGAGAATTTCCTATGATCTAACTGGAGAGCACTGAGCTGACTTAAGACTGTCAGCTACAACCAGTAGTAGACAATTTGCATTCTGTCTCCAAAAGGATGGCCTCCACTTTGCATTGGAGTATTCTGATGACTGAAGCATTCAGAAGTCACTGTCCATGTGAGATAGAAATAGGACAACATTGGTAACAGAATAGTTTGGTTTGGGTAATTACACTTGTCGTCTCCCAGAGAAGCAGAAACAGAGAAGCAGAAACATCGCTTTATCTGTGGTTTGCCCTCATGGCGCTGTCGGGATGGGATGGAATGGCTTGTAACTTAGACCATTTTTAAAGTGTTTTTTTAGTTCCTTTTCTTGTTTTATTTCCTAGAAAAAAGTTACTGGGTCTCACTGCGTGTCAGACAACACATGTTGAATGTTTTAATCATATCATTTCAACTCTATGAACATAGGAGGTAGAACCTATATCATCTTCATCTTCTTGGAGAAGAAAGGGTGCTTTAGGAAAATGGAAGAAACAACTAAAGCCAGTTAGGCAGCAGAGTGGCACAGAGTTCCCTGTCCTAAACCTGTGCTGGTAACTTTCTGCTCTGTTGCTGGTAAAAATCACATTCTGTGACCACAGACTGAACTTAATCAAGTTGGCAATCGGTGCTCTGGGAAAAAGTCACATCATGAGCGACAGTTAGAAGTGGGTAAGAAGGTAGATGGGGTTATGTTTGCAATAACCCTACTGACTGGGTGAGAGAGAAGAGAAACGAGCAATAAAGACATAATAATAAAAATATTTGTGAATTCTTTTTGCCAAGATCATCTGTGTATCAAAATAAGCAAGTGACATGTTGAGAATAATATGTGTTGAACTATAAAGATCCTAGATAGAGCATCATTAATACTTAAAGGAAAGTGAAGAAACATAAAACTTTGCATACAACTCAGGATACAGTGCTTATAAAGAGGGGTTCAGCAGTATTTTCTGCCAATTATGTGTTAAGCCTCATGCTGAATACTTCAAGAGAAACATGAGTATACATACAATTGCATCTTAGCTTTTATTAACATCTAAAATTTATAAATGTAAACAACATGTACAAGTTTAATTATATAGGAAAACAATTTGCATTGTCATTAAAATTCTAAATAGTCTAAGAAAATTTCCCCTGCTCGCCTCGCCTATGAAATCACACAGCCTCCTTTGAGCTCCTTGAAGGGATTTTTGTCCTCTGGGATCCCCTTCACTAGGGGATCCTCTCCAGATCTTTCTTCAATATAATCTCTTACTTCTTCACAACACTTGGAAACCTGAGAGGAAGGAGACAAAGATAACGCATTTGTTTTCAAACAGAAGCATGCTGACTCCAGAACTGTGTTTATTACAATACATTTCTGTGTTGCATCTTTTTGAAAAAAATGATTCCATCTGTTATCTGCCAGTGCACATGCACTATCCAGGATAGAAAAACATCATTCCCAACCTTCTATCCTAGATGTCTGCAGAGGTTAGAAAGCTGAGCCTTCAGTTAACAACTGCTGGTGGACCCTGCTTCTAGCTTTGTCAAGGAACAGAGGACCCAGGGTCTGAGCCCATCTGGAAAAACAAATGAGGAGTTTTACCTAAGTAAATCTTCCTCCTCTTCCTAAAAGTGTAATATAATGATGGAAGAGAATGAACAGTTGCTCAATTTATAGCTTATTCTCAGTGTTGTATTCTCAGAAGTGTAGACATGCAGCTTTAAATTCAACTGCTGTTAGTGTTCATTGCAGGGCATGGCATGTGCTCTGAAGAGGTCAATAACTTTGACTGTTTTGTTCAGTAGATCCCAGGCATCTAGAACAGAGCCTGCACTTAACTGATGCTCAATAAGCAAGTGTGTGCTGAAAGGAATAGTGGTTTGATTATAAGATTGTTCCTCGTTTAGTTACATCTTCATAGTTATGATTTAGAAAACAGCTAGTATTTAGGGCTTTGTCCATATAGGTAACACACACACACACATGTATGTATTTAAAAGAGTTCAAATTATTTGTAGCTTTTAGCCTCAATTTGTTTTATTGTGAATTGATGCCTCTACTCTACTTTTGACAATTTAGTGACCATTTCATATGTTATGTAAATAATTTAGTGGTTTTTTAAATACAATTTTATGGCACAAACATATACACATATATGTGCATTTATATACATATATGAATATATACAACTAGTTATATGTGCTCTCTAAAATATATATTTTAAAACTCTAAGACCCAATCTGATGATGCAAGAAGATGAAGTCTTTGAAGGCTACTTTCACCCTGAGGGTCCCTCAGGGTCAGGATTAGCATCACAATGAGAGCCACCAGAGCACTCCCTCACTTTTCTTAACACATAAGGACACACTGAAATGACAAGAACTACCTAGGAATGAGGGATCATGGTCTGATCTGAATCAACACAGTTCCAAGACTGAAGAAAATAAAATAAAATGATTTGCCATGTAGGCAAAGCCATGCAATCTGTGCTGTTCTCTTACAACAGCCTGGAGAGACTAAAACATGTGTGTGGATGGGAAGTGTGTGTGTGTGTGTGTGTGTGTGTGTGTGTGTGTGTGTGTGTGTGTAAATCTCAGCAAAAAAAGAATCTATATTGGAGGAGGGAAGATAAGAAAAGGATGAAAAAGGAGGAGGAAAGAGAAGATAGCGAGTTTTACAATATAATACTGTTACTTAAACTTCTAAAAGCAAGAATATTCAGAGTATTGGGGAAAGGTGGGTAGTGGTATATGTCATGTTTACCCCAAATAAAGACTCCAAGGTGATCAACAAGCCCCAAAACAACCAAATTGCTGACCAAAGGATGCTCAGGAGCTTGCGGATAAGGATTTAGCCTACCTGCTGTGTGTTCTATTGTGCTTATTACAGATTTGACTTTATCTTTATACCAAAACAGGTCTGCATGGAAAGAGTAATGGAGCTATTGCAGAAAGTTATAAAAGAACTAAAATTTTAAATTTATTTGCATGATAAGAAGATAAACATCCTTTTTACATATATACCGTATATATGATATGACAAGATATGATAGGCTGTTATAATTTATGGAGGAGTTTTTGTTCTATTAACTTTTGTAAATTATGTTACCTAAAACATGTACCTATGCTTCTAGACATCCAGTCAATGTTTGGTGAAAGCTTTCTGTCCCTTTTCACTTTCTATTCTATTTAATGCAGAGACTCTGAGTCACTATTCCCAAGAGCTATCAGATGCTTTTAGGAGAAACCAGTGAATTCTTTTTGATGAAATACTTTTTATTTGCAAAAGAAGAACAGAAGAAACTTATTTGCTACTGACCAAGACATGGATGGAGAGGATGAGGTCATACTTTAAACCACATCAACAACATCAAAATGAAAAGAAGCTCATCAGCTCAAAGGAACAGAAAAAAAATGCCTTGTAACAGCTGCCTTGTTCTGTTTAAATACTTGGGTGAAACACAGTCTCTGTCTCACATTCTCCCATATTTTATTCTTTTTGGTCCTTCTTTAAGAGTCTAAAACATTTCTTAGGTAAGTGGTCATATGGAGTCAAACAAAGGGCTAGGCTAGACCAGGGAAAATAGTTTTCCTACCTCTTGACTTGGAGTATAACTTATTAGATTAATTCAGTTATTACCATTCTTCATCTCTGGTTATATTTGTCACAAACATCTTATTTGTAAGTACACTGAACTGTTCCAATGCTTACTCAAGTGCATTAGAAACATTCAATGTTGCCTCTGCCAGTGAATGAGAGAGAATACCCCCTTACCATCATTCTTTCCAGGGTCACTTCTTTCTTGAGCTGGTCTACCTCCATCTTCAATTTGTCCTTTTCTGTCAGGTCCTCAATGTTGATCACTGGCATCTTCTGTCTGTTATAAAGGTTGAATGTTAGCACACACACACCTCAACTACTGAACTAGACACGACTCACCACAGGGAGCTCACCCCTCTGCTCTGCACTTACCACGGAAGCTGCTGTTGGTTTTCTTTTAAATTGTCTATGACAACCAGCTTCTCACAAGCACTCTCTGAACACTGCTCATGCTGCATGCTGGGCTTGGGATTTTAAAGCTTCATAATCTTCCCTAATATGATTAAGTTAAGCATTTGTCTTCTAACACCTGCTGGTAGATTTTAGGGGAGAGATCTGTTCTGTCAGTGTATAATATAAAGGATTTAAGGCCCCTCCTTTCTTCTGGCCTCATGCATAGCCTGCACTTCTGTGTTTTCAACTCTTATCTCTAGTGTCAAAGCTGTCCACCAACTAATCAATGCCTTTTAGTTCAGTCAGAGGTCATTCTGAGGACTACACGTTAATCCTCAAATTGCTGGAGTATTTAATCTGGCATTAAAAGAGAAGTATTTATAAAGAATATCATTATAAATTTATCATAGAATTGAAATGTGAACCAATGAAGCTGAGATACAGCAAATGAACTTATTCAGAAATAAGCTATTATACAATTTAGAAATCTCTTCCAACAATATCTGGGATTTATAGGTAACTGCCACAATATATTGAACAGCAGTTTTTGAGCAGTGATAACCTAGCAAAGGCTGCATATTGATTTTTATCTACCATATAATCTGTGTGAAAATAATGTACTCTGCTAACAGTCTTTCTCCTATTTAGACCCATGTATAATGGAGAAGGTGGTTTGGTGGCTGTTGGTATGATCATGAAATTGCTTCAAAATTTTATAATACTCAAATGGCATTGTGTCTGTCCTCTGTTTTTCTCCTTTTCTCCTTTGCATCTGTAATTCAGTTTCTACATGATCATATTTTTGTGAAATGTAGAAATATTCAGATCACACACCGTTTCAGATCATATAACATTGAAATCTACAGGAAAGCACTCTGTTAAGCAGCATTCTGACAACTAGCATATTTCCATGTATTGATGTGATATTTTCAATCCCAAAACATTTGGGGAACTATTATGTGCTTCAGTGTCTTGCAATGCTGTGTACTTCTCTGAGAAGGAGGTAATTTATGGAAGTTTTAGTGAAAACTTCTCTGTATACTTAGCACAGAAATGGAACAGAGCAACCAGCAATCGCTGCCTGTGGAGTTTGCTTTCTCACACTGCTCCTTACAAAATGATGCGACAATAGACAATCCATTCTGCTTCATGGTTCTTCGGCAGATGAGAGCCCATCTTGTATTCTTATCTTTCCTCTTTTCTCAGAGTGTCTGTAAAACTTCGAACATACCTCTGACTTTTTACCTGTTGACACTGCTGTTCGCATACCATTCTCCATGTTGGTTATAAAGCTGCAGTATGTTTAAGACCCACTTCAGTGTGCATTCTTATCACAGTTAACTGTTAAAGCTTATACAAGGTAGGCCACCCTTTATTAAAATAAATTTGAAAGGAATTTTGACTTATTGGATCTAGGATAGGGCTAATGATTGATTTTCTCTGTTCCAGGAAGTTGTAGCATATTACTCAAATCAAGTGACCATCCTCTGTCACTTGCTAATTGTATGATTTTGACCAATTATTAAACATGTGGCTTGTTTGCCTGGAAATATAGGTAAAGACTATGTAATAGTTTGTATGATAAAATAAGCAAGCCCAAGCCTTCACTGCATGTTATCCATGCATCTCCAAATTTTTGGACTGTACTTTCTTATGTGGGATTATCTGCTAGAGAGTTCTATACACACTCTTAAATATATCACCTGCTCCTTTAATATCATTTATATACTGCTTTTGTCCCACCCAGATCTCCTTTCCTAGGTTGAGGCACTCATCCATCATTAGATGCTTGCATTAACTATTATGGACAGACCAGTGGTCCAAGTTGGTCTTTAGCTGTCGAAAACACCTTGCCTGGTCACACTTGGAAGATTAAAGTCTTATCTCCAAAGGCTATGGCAGACAGCTAGATAATGTGGGGCCATAAAAACGTGACATCCCTGTCTTGGCTGAAATCTTGGTTATAACTGAAAAACTTCTAGAGTTCCAGAAACTTCAGGATGATTCTGGAATTATTTTGACTAACTTTTGCCTTTCCTATTTTCCCCAATTCAATTAAAGGTTCCCCATGAAATCTTATCCTTAACAAATCAATCAGCTGAACCAGAAGGGTCTCCTGGGCTCTGCTTCTAGGAAGTCTAGTAGTTTAGTCCTGACAGGTGCCTCTTGTTCTGCATATTGTTTGGTAGATTGAAATCAAACATGCTGATAAAGCTATCACCCCGTATCATATTCACCTACATTAGAAAAGCAAGTAAATTATCTAACATCATTTATAATGGAAGATTGCTCAGCTCTATGTTCAAGATCAAAATACTTTCTTTTACCGAAGAACAGCCTTAGAAAATGCTAGAAACCTTGCAAATTAAAGGCCCTAGGTCTATTTGAAAAAACTCAGAGGCCAAACAAAAAGTGGGGAATCACAATTTTAACCTCCTGAGGGACGCTGAGACACATGAGAAACAGCTTACATGTGTGGGGATAAGGTTTCAGATATTTAGAGTTATAAGGGTTCAAGGGATTCAGAAACAGCTGGAAAGATGGTTCAGTAAGTAAAGACACTTGTCACTAAGACTGACAACCTGGTTTCAATAACTGGGACATAATATTAGAAGGAAAGAATCTGCATACATGTGTTCACACTCACCCACTCCCAAATAAATACATGTAGTAAAAAATTAAAGAATAAATATATATTGTTTATATACACACATACATTCTTTAATTATATTTTCTTTATTTTTACTATATAGATAGATAAATAGATACAGATATAGATATAAAGCATCCAGATATAAAGATACAGTTTCCAAAGTCCATTCACATACTAGGGATAAATACTGATCCACTACTAGAGGCCCCATAGATTGCCCAGGCTTCCTAACTGACACCCACATTCAGGGGTTCTGGGTAGGCCCTATGGTGGTTTCCCAGCTATCAGTCTGGGGCCCATGAGCTCCCCCCTTGCTCAGGTCATCTGTATCTGTGGGTTTCTCCAGCCTGGTCTTGACCCCTTTGCTCATCACTCCTCCCTCTCTGGAACTGGATTTCAGGAGTTCTGCTCAATGTTTAGCTGTGGGTGTCTGCTTCTGCTTTCATCACCTATTGGATAAAGGCTCTATGATGACATTTAAGGTAGTCATCAATCTCATTTATGATAGCCTCTCCACTCACTATTGCTTAGATTGTTAGTTGGTGTCATCCTTATATGACAGACTTTGAAGATCACCCATGGAAGGCCTAACCCCCCGGGGGAGCAGAAAGGGGATGGGATAGAGGGCTGGTGGGGGCAGAGGAGGAGGGAAGGGAGAGGGATATGGGATTGACATGTAAAACAAGCTTGTTTCTAATTTAAATTTTTAAAAGGGAAAAAAAAAGACATAGTTTCTTCTCTGACCATCTTCACAATGACACAATGATTGTCTAGAGTTCAAATGCCCATAAACATACAATCATAGACTGCAAATCTGAACTTCCAATTATACATGATTGTCCTCTGGTCTTGAGTATAGTCTATTCCCACACACTTCTTTCAATTAAATATAAATAAGTTTCTTGTTTATAATCAAGAATTACTCAAAAATACAGTTGAAAATTAGTAACAAATAACACTAAATCCTTTCTTGTCCTTCATGTTCTAAGGTTATGGCACATAAAGCTCAATCAGATAAGGTAAGGGCTACACCTTACTGGGATGGGGATGGAGGACCACGCCCCAGTTAAGAAGATGCTTGCTCTTTTACCTCTTCTTCCATCATGTGCCATGAGAGGATGCAAGATTCAGTGGTAAGCAGAAGGAAGCAAGGGAAGGGAAAACCTTCAAATGATCTACCACCAAAAAGCAAGTTGTGGAGGAGAGGGTTTATGTAGCTTACACTTCAGCACTGCTGTTCATCACTGAAGGAAGTTAGGATAGAAACTCAGGCAGGGATGGAACCCCAAACACAGGAGCTGATGCAGAGGCCATGGAGGGGAGCTGCTTACTGGCTTGATTCCCATGGCTTCCTCAAACCACTTTCCTACGGAACTCAGGACCAGAAGCTCAGGGAAGGGACTACCCACCTTGGGTTGTGCCCTCCCCTGTTAAAGCACTAAATGAGAAATGCCTTGCATCTGGATCTCACGGAGGTATTTCCTCAGCAGAGGCTCCTTCCTTTGATGACTCTGGCTTGTGTCAAGTTGATACATCAAACCACCCAGTACATCTCCTTTCTTTATAATTGACTAATGTTTTATTTTTAATTTCATAAATACAACTCCGACACCATATTGTCTTCAAATGGGCCATTATAAAATACTTCTTGTGCAAAACAGACTGTGAATTAGAAAAATTCATGTTCATAGATTTCAGAAGAGAGAAAGAAGCACAGATTAACTTGACATATTTTTGCCATTAATTGCCAAGGTAAGCTTTTGCTAACCAAAATATGTCCAGCAATAATGGCATCTATATAAAGGGTACTAAAAGAGAACCATATAATGGAAATAGGCATTAAGCATAGCAATTGGTGATACGATTTCTATTAAAAATAATTTTTGTGCTTGTATCTTAATACAGTGAGAGTTCTCAAAAAATGGTTTGTATTAAATGCACTGATGAAAGTAGACATTTTTCACAGTGGGAGCCAGGATGGACAAGCAAAGGTCAGTGCTTCTTAACCTCTACCATATGCTAGAGGAGTTTTAAAACATTTCTCTAAAAACACTTTGGGAGAATGAAACTATGCAAATGTGAACTAAATTTCCATTAATGTTTGTTGGAGCTTCCACTGAGTTTCTCCTAGAATTAATGTAAGCTAACATAAGGGTCATAGGTTGCTTATTTTGTGTTTGTTTGTATATATTAGACATGAGTGTGCTTTAAGCAAGAATGCCAGATAGATAAAATATTTCAGTTATAAAGAATTAGATGAGGGAGAAATTGTTCAAGTTCTGGCGAAAGCCCTTTGTTTTGCATTGAGGGTTAATAGGTTATTTGAAATGGAAGTGTTCCGAACACTCTAGCTATTACTTACTTTACAATCATTCAGTCTGGCCCAACTTTCAA